TCAAAACGGGACCCCAGCATTCGCAGCAACAGGCCAGCTCTTGCGAGCTGGGATGTGTAAAACCTGGAAATTGTCGGAGCCCGACCCGCGCGCCGACACACAAATCTCACGCCAGAACTCGCCGTAGGGAATCGAGGCCGCATCTATATCGGCCCCCAAAGTTCCAGATTCTGATCAGACCCTCAACCACGCACTCGTCTGGACCCGCGAGCCGAAGACACACAAGAGACCTCGGCACCGCATATCCCGCGCAGCGCATGCTCCAGGGAGCCACGCACCGAAGCAAAGACGCCTCCAGCGTCGCCCACAACCACAAACGCCGACGCAGCCCTCGTGAACAAGGGCAGCTCGGGGTCCAAAGCGAAATCGTCGTTGCAGATGATCCCAGCTGCCCCGCCGCGGCGAAGAGGGATCACCGACCGCCAGGAACTGACACCGTGCAAGGGAGGCGCATGGGAAATCACGCTCAGCAGCAGAAACATGGACAACAATTGATCGCCAGGGCCCCCTGATCACCACTCGCGAAGTGACTAATCAATGACGAACGAACAACACACACCCATACCCATAGGGGGGTCGTTGGGAGGAGGACTGGCTGTAGGTATGGGTGCGGGTTGTCGGACCCTGGGGAACGCTCCCGTTCGAGCGGGGACCCCCATCCGACAACACGCACCCATAGCCCTCTCCGATCCCCCTATGGGTATGGGTGTTTGATGTTGGTTCGTCAATCAAAACCGAACGCACGTCCAAACAGACCACGCGCGTCACAGCAGAAGATTCGGCGATGACGCGCGCCCCCAGAACCGAAGCAATCCCGACAAGGAGCACCCAAAACTTGACGGCCCTGGAAAAGATCAGCCTGCGGAGCGAGACCTCCCGAAACACGGGTCGCAAGCAGACTGGCCTGCATCGCCTTGCCCGAACACCTCATTTCCTTGCAGGCAGCAGCAACAGCATCCAAATCAGGACTGGCACACCTCAAGATCTGAGAGAGTGTGATCCACCGCCGCTTTACTGTGGAAAATTCCCTCCTCTTTTCCTCCGGAACCCGGGGGTCCCCCCCCCTCCGAAATCCCCCCCCTGCTGAACCCCCCCCCCTCCTTTCCCCCCGGTAAAACCCCCACCCCCCTCCCCTAACCCCCCCCCTTCTGGAAAACCGAGGGGGTTCGAACCCCCCCCTCTCCGGAAAACCGGGGGCGGGTCACTACCGGTTCGAACCCCTCACCCCCCCCCAGAAAACCAAAGGGGGTCACTACCGGTTCGAACCCCTCCCCCCCCTCCCACTCCAGAAAACCGGGGAGGGGTCACTACCGGTTCGAACCCCCCCACCCCCCCCTCCAGAAAACCGGAGGGGGTCACTACCGGTTCGAGCCCCTCCCCCCCCACCGCCAGCAAACGACTCCCGAGTCCCCACCACCGTCCGCACCATATGCCCCACTGCTGTCCCCAGCACCACTGCCCTCACCACCGCTGTCCCCAGCTCCCACCACCGTCCCCACTGTCCCCACCAGTGTCCCCACCACTGTCGCACTGCCCCTACTGTCCCCACCACTGTTCCCACCACGGTCCCACTTTCCCCACGGCCCCAATCACTGTCCCACTGTCCTCACTGTCCCCACTGTCCCACTGTCCCAGTGTCCCCGCCGCTGTCCCACTGAGCTGTCCTACTGTTCCCACCACTGCCCCCACTGTCCCCACCACTGTCCCCACTGTACTCTGTCCCATTGTCCCACCGCCGTCCTCGCCACCGCCCTCACAGTTGTCTCCACCACCACTGTACCCTCCAATGTCCCATTGTTTCCACCATATTCCCACTGTCCCCACACCACTGTCCCCACCACCACCGTCCCCAACACTGTCCCACTGTCCCCGCTGTTCCCAACATTGTCCCCGCTGTCCCCACCAGTGCCCCCACCATTGTCGCACTGTCCCCACTCTCCCCACCATTGTCCAACCACGGTCCCACTCTCCCCACTTTCCCCACGGTCCCCACCACTGTCCCATTGTCCCCACTGTACCCACCATTGTCCCCGCTGTCCCCGCCGCTGTCCCACTGTGCTGTCCCACCGTCCCCACTGTCGCCACCACTGTCCCACTGTCCCCACTGTCCCCACCACTTTCCCCACTGTACTACTGTCCCACCACTGTCCTTCACCACCGCCTTCACCACTGTCCCCACCACTACCGTCCCCACCACTGTCCCACTGTCCCCTCACCACTGTCCCCACCACCACCGTCCCCACCACTGTCCGCACCACTGTCCCACTGTCCCCGCACCACTGTCCCCAGCACCACCGTTCCCACCACTGTCCCACTCTCCCCACCATTGTCCAACTGTTCCGAGGGGCGGGAATCGTTTGCCGGCGGCTCCGAGGGGGGGGGGTTCGAACCGGTAGTGACCCCCCCCCTTGTCATGATGGACCGGGGGAGAAAGGGGGAGGGGTTCGAACCGGTAGTGCCCCCCCCGGGTTTTCAAAGGGGGGGGGGCGGGCTGGGAACC